AGAGGTTGTGGAGCATACTAGCTTGCCTATCGAGCTATATTGCGACAATAGTGCAGAAGTAGTCCAAACCAATTACCCAAGGTTCCATAGATGAACAAAATACACTGATAGGAAGTATCATGTTCTACATGATATTGTCCGGCAAGAAAATGTACTTGTAGTTAGAACATTGCATTGGAACACAACTTTGTTGATCCATTATCAAAGGTGTCATTGATCAATAATTTTGATCATCATCTGGATAACATTGGAGTTAGGTGCAATTTGAATTGGCTATGAGGGCAAGTGGGAGCTGTTGGGATTTATATGCCCTGGCATAACAAATTCCTATCTGGATTATAGTGACATATGTTCCTGACATATCTGAAATATTTATGATTTATATAATTGGTGAATTCAATGTATTATGTTTCGATTCACTATGAAATTGATAGTGTCCATGTAATTACAAGAAATATTTATATATATGTATGTGATGGCAATCAATGCATGATATATAAATAGTAATTATAAATTGTTCATAGTCGGTAATTATGGATGGATTCATAATTAATTAAGACTTGAACTGGATCCGCGTTAGGTTGAGATATATTGCGAGAGCCGTCGTATGCAATTGCTCCCTATCACCGTCATGGCATTTGACTCTTAAGCATGAGAAAAGTATAGACTCTTTTATTAATTAATAATTACTTTGATTTGTTCGGCGGATTCTTCGGGATCCTTAGACCGACACTTTGGGTAGTTATGTAATTAATAGTTAGAGGGTTATATTTTCAATATTTGCATCATTGCTACTTGTATTTATTTTGTATTGATTATGGTTGATCACAAAGTAAATTCGAAGGCCTTCGTGTGTTTTTAGACAAAATGATTTATTATATATTTATTTATTTAAATTATTATTTTTTGTCAAACAAATGTTTTATTGTGATCGAGCCAGAAATAATCAAAGATACCAAAATAAATATATTAATTAAGTAGTCGGATTGATGGCTATATTTATCCGATAACTAATTATGCATAGAGGGGTCAAAGTGCAATATTGACTTAGAGGTTATTTATTATTTAATTGGAGTTCAATTAATTTCTTTTAGTGGAGTAGAAATTAATTTATGAATTAATTGAATTGGGTCCATGGACCGGGCCAATTATTAATTCATTGTAGCCAATAAAATAATAGGCCCAATGGATTCTCACTCATAGCCCAACTTGATATTGGAATCATATTAGATTTGAGACATATGAATTAGAGATGGAGAATGATTTGTTGTTTCCTTTTCTTTATTTTTATGTTGCCTATAAATATACATGGTCTATGTATATTTTGGGGGGTGATTTTTATGAGAAGGAAAAAGGAATAAATTTTCTCTCTCTAGAAAATTAGGATTTATGTTCTCATCTAATGGAGGCTCCCACAAGCCTAGTTTTCCAAGGTCATTCATGGAGGCTTATGAGTGATTCCTAAAGGCAAAACAATTACCAAGAAGATGGAGATCCAAGAAGAAGGCATCTTGCTAAGGGATCTACAATAAGTGAGAACATTCACTTTAGAGAAAAGTTTTAAAGGTTTACTCAGACCTTTGATGTAAGTATTCAATCTGTTAATTGAATAATACATCATATTTTTATTTTTGCATAAAACTTGTCTCTATGTGATGAATCAAGATTTATGAATCAAAATCCCTCGAAAAATTTTTAAAACTTGCACGTTTCCCAACACTTCTTCCTTCCAACTCTTATAGTCTCCTCTTCGTCTTCTTCTGAAGTTCGAAATTTCAAGATTTAATGGTTCGGCTAAAATCTATAGTGAGAAATTATTTAAGCACACCAATGGGTGATCGAAAAAATGCAAGAGTGAAAAACACAAAGTGAGGCCCAAAATACGGAGTGACTACTAATCATCTTCTCTCTCCCCCCTCTCTCAACATCCCCGCTTGTCTGATCCCTTTCTGTAATTAATCTGTCTTTCAAAATTTCAATTTCAGGGTTTGTTTTCTTGATTTCAAACTCATTTTAATCCCAAAAGGATGTTCTTGAAAGTCAGTTGGTTCAGAATAGAGATCGTTTTTTTTTTTTTTTTGGTATATAGTTCTCTACTAGTTTTAATTTGATCAAAACAACTAAGAGCGCTTGTTTTTCTGTTCCTCAGGTTGATTTTGGTATTTTTAGTTTCAGATCTTTAAGGATTTTAAAGGGTTCTTTATTTTAACACCTCTTTAATCCTTGTTTGTAGAAAAAAAATTCTGTTTTCTTTTAGTTTTGATACAAGAAACGGGTTTGTTTATAAGAGTTTTCTTGTTTAGATCTCTTTGCTTTATATATATATATATATATATAATTTTGTTGTTGTTAACCTTTGGTTGAGAAGAAAATGGCAACAACTATAGATTTATACAGCAGCAGCAGTCAGATTTTCTCGGATTTCTCAGATCAAGAGCTGATGATGGCACTGAAACCTTTTATGAAAGGTGCTTCATCATCACCCACTACTTCTTCCCTAACTTTTTATTCTTCTTCGCCTTCATCTCCTTCTCTTTCTTTCTCTACCTACTCTCTCTCTCTATTCCTTTTTACAAACCTGTCATGTACCTTGAATTTGGCTAATCACCATCGACGACCCACATGTTTTCTCTAGGTTTCTCGAGTTTTGACCAAATGGGTATGGACCAAACAGGCTCAATTGGACTCAATCAACTCACCCCATCTCAGATCCTCCAAATCCAAGCTCAATTCCAACTCCAACAACAACATCAATACATTGCTTCACTCCAAACCCAAACCCGAAACCAAACCCAAAGGCATATATCTGTACATATATATCAGACCAGTTTGAGAAGAGAGTTTTTGGTTTATAGAGCCTCCGCATATATCTGTATATATATATCAGATCAGTTTTGGGGGCAACCTTAATTTTGGTTTTGGGGGGTGGGGGGGAAATTTTAACTTGAAAGTTTTGGGGAGAATTTTAACTTGAAAATGAAATAAAAGGGAAAGGCTACAGAATGGGCGTACAGAAAGGATATCAGTATGTACAGAAATGGTATAAGCAAAACTATAATGACTATCCAATTTACCTCCTTTGTCACATCAGTAAAGGCCAGGACCGATTCCAGTGAGATGCGAATGAAGACGATTTTTCTCCCAAAAGAAAATGGTTTAACCATCAAATCTCAGTCACAGAGTCCGATATTTACTGAGGAAGTGCATCAGTTGAATCACCATCCATGATGGTCCCTAAACTTATTAAGTGTTTATTTATTTACCTTTTGAAATGGTATCCATTAAAAAAAAATTCTTAAATACATACATATATGGAGTAATTTTATAACCATAAGTGTTCCACCAAAGTCATTATAGAGCAAAAGTTGGGTCTCAAAAAATTTAAGTCACATAAAAGTAAAGAGTAATGATGTGGCAATCGAATTTAATCACCGAATAAGACCTGAAATTGTCACATCACCCATTCATTCATTAAATAGAAAATTCTATTATTTTAAAAAGATTATTTTATCCTCAAAATATCATTCAAACCCCACCACGTTTTCTCTCTCAAATAATCATTCAAACCCACCCTTATTTTTCTCTCAAAATTCCTCCATCTTTGTCATTGTCCGACCCGCATCTCCACCTCCACTACCACCATTTTTCTGTTCACTGTCCTATCCACCTCTCCACTGCCACCATCTTTCTGTTCACTGTCCTATCCACCTCTCCACCGCCACCATCTCTGTGTTGCCCCCATCCCTCTATTGCCACAATCCCTTAGCTTTACATCTCTCCCTAAAAGACTTTCAAATTTGTTCATTCTCAATGACCCATCAAACTTATCAAATTATCTATTCATTTCTATTGTCTTCTTTATTTAGACGACCCAAATCAACAGTATACTATGACATAGATGAGTAATGAAGTTAGAGATTAGGGCATATATGTGAGAGATGCGAAATTGAAGAGAGAGAGAGAGATAGTAAGAATTGGAGAAAGAAGAAAAATTATGATTTATTTGCTAGTTTGATGGGTTACCATTAATTTTTCTAGTGAATTGTTAAAATGAATGTTGGATTGGTGATGATGATACAACCTTCCTTGTTCATCGCTTGACCCAATCGGATTAACTAAAGATTGTAGATCATGGAGGGGAATTGCATACTTATTGATGAGACGATGGAGTTGTGGTTGATATATATATATATATATATAGAGAGAGAGAGAGAGAGAGAGAGATTTTGAACACAAAGACTGGATATTTATTTGAGAGAGAGAAAACGTGAAAAAGTTTGAATGATATTTTTAGGATACAGTAGTCTTTTTAAAATAGTAAAATTTTTCATTTAATGAATGTGTGAGTAATGTGGCAATTTCGGATCTTATTCGATGACTAAATTCGTTTGCCTTATCATTATTCAAAAGTAAAATTGGGAACTGTATCCATTTTAAAAGAAGTAGTGCTAGATTCCAATCATTTGTGTATCGACTTAACTTTCCATCTTCATACAAGAAAAAATAAAACATAAAAATTGAATTCTTCGTTTAGATAACGGGGACATGTGAATTTTTTGATGGGATAAAAAAATAAAAAAGGTCCTTAAAGAAACTTGCAATGGTCATGCTACAAACTTAGAAATAAAATAAGATCCATCCAATAGACGGGCAGGGGTTCAGTTGGTCAAGGTTTTGAACGGAGCAAGGAGCCAGTTCAATCAATGACTTAATTAATTCTATAAAAACATAATAATTGTCATAAAAAAATTTGTAATACATCCATTTATTTCATTAACAAAAGCATTTAAAATAAATATAAACAAATCAATTTGAAAAGTAAAACAACTAATAGCTTTCTTTTCTTTAATATATCAAACCACCATATGCAAGTAAAAATCGTTTCCATGAAACTATAAATTTTATATCCAATTAAGGTTTTAAGTTTAACATTTTTGTTCTTCGTCTCTCCCTCATTCGTGTGTAGTAAGGAAAAAAAAAAAAAAAAAGTCCCAATAAAATTAACTAAAAGAGCGATTAACTAAAATCGATTTAGGTTTGTTGGATACACAGAAATGCATTTACCAACAAACGAATATACATACAATGCTTGAATTCAATAAGAGGCCAATAATAATAGTTTTTAATCATTACTGACTATTGATACACAAATAGCACCCCCACAATTCAAAGTGTTTAGACACAAAGATATGTTCATTTACTATATTTGTTCATTTATTCAGAAGCAAATTAGACATAGCTCAGTGTTTGATCTTAGGCTTCTTCACAATCATCACAGTGCAATGAGCATGATGAGCACAATAGTCACTTACACTGCCCAAAACAGCCCTGCAAGACACACAATTTGATATCAAGTTAATATTTGTGTAAAAGAATAATAATCAACATAAAAATTTGATATCAAGTTAATATTTGTATACATAAGATTTACCACATAAAGTAACAAAGAGAAAAAACAATGCCTATTGATCATGATGAAAACATTTATTGGTGGAGATGAATTGGAATTCTTCTTTCCTTGACCAAAAAGAACTCTTCGTTTAAAAGGTCAAGTGGATGAGAGATCTTGAAATTCACGTGTTCAACCAGATTAAGGGAAAATGTAATCCTCACTCAAATCAGAAGTAATGATATTTTTACATGTTTTTTATTTTTTTCCCGGGTAAAATACAAAATTTTAGTAAAACAAAACATACCAATAATTCACATAATCAATAATTTGTCTAAAGTTTTGCATATCTAAACTCTAGTAATGTGACATGGAATAATATGAGACTACATACCGTTTTATAGCTCCATAACCATGATTTCCCACAACCAACATACTGGCGTGGTGTTTTTCTACAGCATCGCAGAGAACATTCCTAGGGTCGCCTTCCAACGCTTCCAGTATAACATCATGCACCTGCATAAAATTGGAATGCTCAGAAAGGATGTTGGGCAATGCAAATTATTGGAACACATACATCACAACCTCAAAAGTTCATGTTGTGGATCCAAGTATTAAAGTTCCACAAAAAACTACCAAAATTAACTACCATTACACCTGTCCTCCACAGAGAAATGTCAAATTTTAAAATATTGAACTCTCGTTACTGTCTTATATATATATATATATAAATTCTCTTAAAAGAACATATAAGTAGACCTGAGAGGGATGAAAAAACATTCTATTCATACAAAAAATATGCGGTACGCAAGTGATCTCATTCAAACATCTCAATTTCCAATTATCCAACTGTAAATTGTTAGGAACGCATGCAGCGATATATATATTTTTCATATTATTAACATCTTCTACACATAAAGCTATGGGTCACTTAATGTCTATAGAGATGAACCCCAAACTAGTATAGGTTACAACTTACAAAATACAAACATTTATAGAACAGATAATCGATTAATTATTCCGTTCAAAGATTCAAAGACTATCAACCAGAGCTTGTGTTAAGACCTTTCCTACTTTTTAAAAATGTGATATAAATGCTGATAGGTCATCATAATAATTAGACTTGCCCCAAAAAAATCCCAATGATATTTCAATTTTGTCTCGATCATCAATCTTCAATATAAATACTTGTACCTAATATATCTAACAATCATCTTGCAATCTCTATTAATTGAGACTTGGAACCCTGCATCTTATCAACACTTGCAAAAATAAAACTACTTTAGGATTTTAAAACCATTAATTTAGTACTTGGCCTCCAAGTATTGTCCTTTATTTAAGAATGTTTTTCTTTTTCTTTTTAATTATTCTAAAAAAAATTGGATATATATATATTTTTAAATGAAACTATTCACTTTTCTATCAGGCAAATGATTCCCTCTTCTATCAGGCAAATGGTTGCTTGATTCTAAAACTAGTGCACTCCCTTTTACTTAATTGACAATATACTACTAACTTCAAATTATTCACAATGTTTTACTTAATTTCATTGTAATTATATTCATATATGTATAACATGAATCAAAGAATCAAAAAAAAAAAAAAAAGCACTTAATTACTTACTTCTTAAAGCACAACAACAAAGTGATTAAATTAGAAAGATAAATAAAAAATTGAAATCAGATATGAGAAATATGTAGTTGATTATTACGGAGTTAGCGATGCAGATCTCCTTAGCCTTTTCGATAACCCTAGCAGCAATCTTCTTGAGGTCCGCATCAACGAACGGCAAAACGTCGGCCGCCCCTGCAATAAATCAGAATTCACCAATTAATTAAGATCAGAATAAACAGTTCGAATTCAATATACATAAATGATACATATATATATATATATAGATATATACCGGGTCCGGCAAGTCCGACAACGGAAGCAGGGGAAGGTTTAGCATGAACGATTACGAGTTTGAAAAGAGAGTTAGAAGCTAAAGGAATGAAGAAGTGATTGAGAGTCCACTCCAGAGCGTAGGAGCTGTGTTCACTGTCGTCGATTCCGACCACCATCACCGATTTCTCTACTGTAGTCTCCATTTTGAACTCTTAATACTCTTTTTATTCGTTATTTGATCACGCGATCGATTATATAGGAGGAACCAATACTTAATTATACTCTGGAAAGAACGATGCGCACTCAGTAGGATAACGATGCCGCATTAGCACACGACGTCGTGTTACATGCGTCGTGTCCAATGACAGCTTGGCGTGATGAACAGGTGGTGGTGCCCACGGGGTCTGGTCCAATTTCAAATTATTCCCTCTAAAAATAAAAATAAAATAGGTGTCTTGTTTAGAAAACCCTTGTAAGTCACGATTTTTTAAATAAAACTTTTAATTTGAGATCGAAGTAATGTAATTAAATTTTTATATAAATTGTTATATCATATATCATATTATGCGCCCTTTGTTGGAGGAAAAAAATTACTGATAAAGCAGTTTAGAAAACAAGAGGAGGACACGTCATATTGGCGCCCATAGTGTTTGTTTGTCACAAAAAAATACTTTTGTAATATATTTCGTTTCGTTCATTATCAGGTAGTGTTTGTTTATAACGAAAAACATTTTTTTGTAATATATTTCTTTTCATTCATTTTTATTATCAGGTTATTACTTAAAGTCTCTTTGTAAGAGATAGTAAAATATTTTGTACCCATTCTATCTCGTTCCGTTTAGATTTTGAACTCTATGCTCTATTATTTTTGTCTCCTAATTTTTGTGCTTTGTATACAAATTTCTCCGATGATTATACAGGAGGTACCAGATGCTCTGGAAAGAACGATGCACATGTGGCAATAGGATAACGATGCCGTAGCACCACATATTCTTTTGACTTCAGAAAAATTATTTGGAAAGTGACACCTTGGCATAATTAAATTTTTTTATATAAAACAAACGCATTTAATACACAAACACACCATTGAATCAAGGCTCTCGAGCACATAGATATTAGCATCATATTATGTGGCCCTTTGGCGGCTAATGGCTTGGCCCCCTTCTGGGCAGGGAAACGAAAAAAACTGGTAAGCAGTTTAGAAGACAAGAGGATATGGCGCCCATAGTGTTTGTTTATCACCAAAAACATTTTTGTAATGTATTTCTTTTCATTTATTTTTATTAGATCGTTACTTAGAGCCAGTTTATAAAAAATGACAAAATATTTTAACTCGTTTAAAATGGTTATGAGATAGTTAAATTATTTTTGGGTAATGATGGACTAAGATTAAAAACTCGCATGATTATTGGACGAAATGAGAAAAAGGTCACTATGACCTGCCTGTTTATAATGATAAATTACAATTTTGTCTTTATACTTAAATTTATATGCAATAATATTAAATATATATTGAGCAAATTCTACTTTATTCTATTACAATCACTAAATATTCTTTTGTATTATTCTTATTTAAAAATTTCTATTTATTATTTTGATATTTTAACAATAATTTTATTCTTAAGTTTCAATTAAGAAGTTGAATCTTATTTTTATTAGCATAAGAGAAAAAAAATTATTATCATAGTTGAAAATTTGTTTTATTATTTAATCATTAGATTCGTATTATAATTACGAAAATACTCTACAAAACCTGTTTCGTCCCACCCCACTTAATAAACGATTTTGGGTTGGAAATGGGGATATTGGGATGGCGTTCTTTGTCCCAAACCGGCCCATTGTCATTCCTATCTATTTAATTTGTCACTCATAAAATAATTTTTAAAAAATAAAAAAATAAAAAATATAAAACAGATCATTTTACTTTTATTGAAATGAATCATACATATTATAGCACATAATTACACAAGCATCTTCAATGGAAACAAAACAAAAATTACATCTTTTTGGAAGGAAAAAAAGAGAAGGAAAATTGTACACCACACCAAACACACAAGTGTTTCAATTTCTAATCTCAATTAACTATTTTATTTATCTTTTTTTCTAATATCTTATATATACCGTGTTACAATGTAGACTAGTAATAGGACCAAAACTTGACAAAAATAAAACGGGTCAAAACCCGACCAAGGCCCAAGAAAAATCTACGTCCATTGGACCGAATCTGGGTTATAAAACAGCTTGGGCCTCGAATTTGGACCACAACTCCGTAGGCCCGATGATAAAATATATTCAGGTTCTTAAGTTGCAGTCGCTTTTGTACCATCGCCCTAGATTGTGTGAAGAGGAGTAGTATCTTATAGGGTGAAGTGTAAAAAAAAAAAAAAGCCCCTTAACTATGCTTAAATTTGTAAATAATCTTCTAAATTATGTTTTGTGCATAAAACCCCCTAAATTATCACATTTAGTTGCAAAATGTCCCATTATATTATCTATTTTTCATTAAATGACCATAATACCATTTCTTATTGAATTACACTTGATATATTTTTCTTCTTAAAATAAATTATGAAAAAATTCATACTAATTTGATGAAATATTCTCCATTAAATTTGCATAAGTTTGCTTTTAATTATTTAAATAAAAATCTTAAATAGAAAATTTTAAAACAATTTAAGTAATTTCTTAATTTTAATGAATATATTGCATTAAAAATAAGATATTTTTTATTTACATATTTATTAATTTTTCATGAATATTGTTTGAAAAATAAGATATTTTTTTATACTAATTTTTTTTTTAAAGTGATTATAATAGTTTTATTATAATAAGTTAATCATTTTAGAAAATGATAGCTACAATTTTTTTTTTTTCATTTTTATAATCAATTGATACTAATTATAAAATTACGGTAAATGGTATAATTAATATTTAAATAAGATAAAATATAATAAAAAATAATTTAATAAGAAATGATAAATTTAATAACAAAGGGTAAAATAGTCTTTTATAATGGACTTGTCCTTAATTGTAACAAATCAATATTTTAGGGGAACAACCTTTTAGTTCAGGGGGATTAGTTACCAAAAGTTAATAATTCAGGAATTTTTTTTATACTTTACCCTATTTTATATCATGGGAATATAGAAAAGGTTAATTGCACAAAGAAAAGAAAGAACTTTGGACAGTGCATTGTGTACGTCCCACTATAAATGGTTTCTATTAAACCTTTGAATTAAAAAAAGTAGTAAAGTAAGGAATCTCAATATTTTCATTCTTGCAATCATAATGCAGTGGAAGCACACAGCCGGCCACCAAAATTATTCTTTGTGTTGATATAGAATTTGTGTTAATGGAGGCACAATACTATTATTAGCATGAGTTTCTACCATCAAACAAAACATAACTTGTGATTCGTGTTTTTATAAGTTTTACCATTTAGTTATTGAATTAAGATAATTTTTTTTTTAAAGAAAATCAAATGAATCATTTAATATATTTTTTAATTTAGTAATTAAATGTAACAACTCCCATACATAACTTTTGTCATGATAATAAATTTAAAAATGAATCATTTAATACACATTTAATAATTCTTTTATACACATAACTCTTTTATTAATTTAAAATTTAGATAGTAAATTTAAATAAATCATTTAATACACATTCAATAATTTTTTTTTGCCATTCAAAAAAGAAATAAATAAATAAATAAATTTAGACAGTAAGATTGGTTGACAATTTGTTTAATTATGTATATTCATTAAAATGAAAACATAATACTGTATGAAACAAGAAAAAAATATTATAATTCAACAAAAAAGGGAACGGAAGTAAAACCAAAAGACATGCGGAGAAAATTCATCTTACCTTCGTTCGAAATAACTGTCCTTTTTCAAAAAATTAATTTGTGAAGAAAATGAAATTAAATTTTTTTTTTTATATTAGTAGGAAATAAATTATCAAATTTAATTATAAATGAATCTACACAAATGTTTTAATAATGTTATAAAAAAATACAGTAATAATTTAATTTTTTAAATAGGACATTTATTTGATGAATAATTTACTTGGAGACAATCGGAGGAGTATAATACTATTAATTAGTGTTGGGTGGGTTTTGGAACAACCTTATCTTAAACGATCAATTTCATATGTAAAAGTGAAATCAGTAAAACTTTCGTAAACGACAAGCAACGTATAGTGGCTGACATGACATGCCCCACCACTTTTTAAATGGACTCATGCAATAAGTACAGCTGGCATAATGCATGGTCGAGGAAGAAAGTCCTAAATAATCTATATGCATTTGAACAAAATATTGATTAATAGGAGATTTAGAGTTTACACACTCTTTTCATAAACTCGTCATATTATTAAGTATATTGAACGGCTAACCGTATCGGTCAATTATGTAAAGATTAGAGTGCAAACTCACCGTGAACTTGTCCTTATCATACTATTTTTGTTTTTATTTTTTTCTTTTTCATGCTTCAATTTCAATATATTAAGATATGACATAGAAGTGACATATGGGAGGTTGAGAGCATTTAAAACACAAATATTATCTCTTTATTTTTTTTTTTTAATTTGACAAACAAAAAAAATAATTTGATGTACCTCTTTAATAATTTATTCAAAATTTGAAAGTAAAGTGTTGTTTGTTTTAATTAAAATGCTAGCACTTGATTGTTTATTTATTTTTTAAATAAAAATAATAATTTATATATATATTTGGAGCAAATATTGATTAACAGAAAATTTACTGGTCCAGTACGTGAAGATGGAAAGCTAACTCATCGTGATCATATCCTTGTCTCTCACTCTCTCTCTCTCTCACACACACACACATACATATATATATATTGTTGGGGTTGAAATTCGTCGTGGCATGGTACGACACCACCGTTTCCTATAAAATAAAAACGGCTAACTCAAACACTAGTGTGGTGCCGCCGTTGACTCTTCGACAATCAAGTTAGTGAGGGTTTTTAGAGAATGAATTTATATCGTAATCGTTCTAGTAGAAATTTTGTTTTGTATGTACCTTATTTTCGAGTCATCGTCTTCATATTTATGATCACTTCTCTCATTCTTGACAAGGAAATATTATCATTCTTATCCAATGAAAATCTTATCTTGATAACGAAATGTCATCATTCTTTTCCAATGGAAATCTTATCCTTGATAACGAACTATCAAAGGTCTGACAGCTGGTCAACACTTAGTTACTTCTATCGTTAGTTCAAGTTAAATTAGATTTATTTTTCCCCATCATATATAATATGGATTAAGATATAACACAGAAGTGACATGTGAGAGGTGGATAACTTTTTTGAACACAAATACCGTCTTTCTTTACACACACATATATATTTATTTATTTATTGGGAACTTGATATAAAAAAAAGGAAAAAATTAAATTGAGATACCTCTTTAATGATTTATTAAAAATAACAATAATAATAATAAATTTGCTAATTATTTTGCATATATGGCATTGGACACAAAATTGGAAATTCAGCTATCCTTGTCTGGCCAACTTTAGGGTGGAAATTATGGTTGAGTACCACATGACACTTGCCAAAAGTCCATAAAGATGTGACAATAAAAGTAGTGGAATGGGATCGCACCAAAAAATAGTAATTCCCTAGTAATTTCCAAATTCAGATGAAGTTTTCGATGTGGTGCTCTACTGCTCTCAAATAAAAATAAACATAGATGGGACTTTTTCTGAATTACCTCTGAATTGTCCTTCATTTACGTCCAAAGTGGTAACCAAAACCATCACTTAAGATAGAGAGGGTTTGGAGGCTCATGGGCGATTAAAACTACATAAACCACTGTCATACGTTTTCTTCTCATTTTCTTCTTCCTCTTCTTCTTCTTCTTCTTTATACTCTCATTAAAGAAACGAGAGAGAGAGATCAAAAAGACAATTGTTTGTGAAATTTGTTGTTTAGAGAGAGAGAGAGAGAGAGAGAATTTTCGAGAGAGATGAAGTTCTGCAAGAAGTACGAGGAGTACATGCAAGGGCAAGATGAGAAGAAGCTACCAGGGGTTGGATTCAAGAAACTCAAGAAGATCTTGAAGAAGTGTAGGAGAGACATTGAATCGCACAATCACCTTGATAACATATCCAATTGCCCCCACTCTTGCCCAGGTATATACCACAACTCTAAAACAATTACTCCCTTACATATATGTACATATATATATATATATATATATATATATATATATATATATTAATTTTCTGGGTTCCTTTGTTTTTCTTTTCCAGTTTCTTATTTGCTATCTCTTATTTGTACAAATTATTTATAAAGAAATAAACTCTGTGTTGCTCAGACGTTTTTACAAGTTGAACGCAGTGATATACATATACATATATATAACTCATTCATCTTGGATTTATCTGTACTTTATTTATTTTCTGGGTACTCTGGTTTCCCTGTTTTCACTTTTACTTGTTTCTTATTTGTTCAATTTTCATATATATAGTCCTCCCCTTTTTTGATCAAGAATATAGTCCTCCCCTTCTCTCTCAATTCTTGATCAGATACATGATATATAGAATATGGTAAAATTTTATACACCCATCTCAATCAAGCCCTGCTTCCTACTTATTTTTCTAAAAAAAAAAAAAAACAGACAGTTTCACTCACTACAATCGAGTTTCTAACAATTAACAATCGCTGGATAAACTAATTTTCTGAATTAGTAGAGTTATAATTAACAATCGCTGGATAAACTAATTTTCTGAATTAGTAGAGTTACAATTAACAATTGCTGGATAATCTAATTTTCTGAATTAGTAGGGTTATTAAAAATTTAATTTCCCCTCCCCCTACTCTTGTAAAACACATTTGATACATATATTTTCAACAGTTTTTATATCATTTTTATAAATACGTGAACATATTCATGTAACGGCAAAAGAGAAAGTTTCTTCATCTGTTTTAAATTAAAACTTTAATTTATAAGGACGAGCCCACCAGAAATGCAAAGTACCATATGCATATAATTCATCAAGAATTTTATTGGCTGAAATATGATGTATGTAAGAACCTTAAATTTTCTTGAACAAGAGTTTTTGTCTCTTTATATATATATTTCCTTTCTAATAATTCATAACATAGCATGTTTTTTTCTCTAGAAGGCATTAAGTATATAATTACTAATTTTCCACCATGAAACACTTTACCTTCTCAATTTTTTTTTTCATTTACTAGAATTATTTAGTTATTAATATGTTAACTATTCGAGGGTCAACTGTCTTCACTAGGAAAACCTTGATTAGATGGCACTACAAACTGAATATATAGGGTTAAGTTAATAACAGATGACGTTTGACAAATTATATTAAATGTATTACACAATGCTGAATCTGCAGAAAATGAAGAGTAATGAATTTACATTGTTGTCTGTTCATAAAGATTGATTTTAATCTATTCTTTCTACAGGTCAAATCAATTTGTTTCCCATATATATTCTAGATGCTCTTGTGAATATATTGAATTAATCAGGCATAACATTTAGTAAGGAGTAGTAATTAATTTAAATTGTTTTTCTTTATTTCTAGCCATTGCTTACGTTTGATTCTAATGTAAATCTATCTGTAGTTTGCGATGGGACCTTTTTTCCATCTCTTCTCAAAGAGATGTCTGCAGTAGTTGGATGCTTTAATGAGCGTGCACAGAAATTGCTTGAGCTACACCTTGCTTCGGGGTTCCGTAAATACTTTATTTGGTTCAAGGACAAGCTACAAGGGAACCATGTTGCATTAATTCAAGAAGGCAGGGACCTGGTTACTTATGCAATGATCAACGCAATTGCAATGAGAAAAATACTGAAGAAATATGATAAGGTTTGTTTATCCCACTTTTAGCAACCAAATGGAGCATAAGTGATTGTTTTCTGGTTTTGATTTACATATATTGTGCATTTACTTACTTTCTTTCATTTAACTATAGATTCATTACTCAAAGCAAGGCCAAGCTTTCAAGTCACAAGCCCAAAGTATGCGCATTGAAATCTTACAATCTCCATGGCTGTGCGAGCTTATGGCTTTCCACATAAATTTGAGGGAATCAAAATCTAAAACAAGGAAGGCCCATCCATTGTTTGAGGGATGCTCCCTTGTATTCAACGATGGCACACCATCACTTTCTTGCGAGCTCTTTGATTCCGTAAATCTTGATATTAACTTGACTTGTTCTATATGTTTGGTAAGTCCCGACATATTATTTCTATTAATCTTGGATATTTTGACCTGAATAAATAATGTCTTCTATTAATCTTGGACACAAATGAGCTCTTTGATTTTGTCAATATTGGCATTGACTTGGCTTGTTCTCCATTTTTTGTAAATCCTCAAATTTTCTTATATTACTCTTGGACACCGAACACGTACCAAATATATTTATTCATTTGGTGGCTGCTGCGTTATATCTACTTTAGGCGTGTCTTTTGGTTATAATAAAGTCCACACATGTCAAGAACTAGGATAATCTGTAGCAGCATATGAAAATTTTGTTCACGCTACAAAATCCTTGATTAAAGATATTATTCACCACAAATTCTTATGTCAGTGATTGTTACGGTACTTTTACATATGGCGTTAATACACATTTTAACAACTAATATACCCCAGAATGTAATTTAAAACATCTTTGTTTGTGATTTATGAGTGGCAGGACAATCATTTTTTCATGCTCTTTCACCATCATATGGCATCATCAATGTAGAAATTTTGGATCATATATTAATAAATTCTCTATCAAGTCTTCCTAAAAGTTCAAGATTGATTAGTTCAATTGATTTGTGTGTGTGTGTGTGTGTGGAGCAGGACACGGTATTTGACCCGGTATCTCTCACCTGTGGTCATATCTTCTGCTATATGTGTGCTTGCAAGGCTGCATCAGTGACTATTGTGGATGGATTAAAGGCAGCAGATCCCAAGGAAAAATGCCCTCTATGCCGAGATGTAAGTTTGTATCCTAGAAATAATTTTCTTTGATTTAGCGCAATTTTAAAAACATTCTGCCCTCTGTTTAATTTCCATACCATAGCATATATTGCCAACCAAGGGCCCATTACACAAATTCCGTCAAAAAAAATTAATCATTTAATAGTGTGAAATGTACACAATATACTATAAAATCAAATATTTCTCTGTGGAAATGAACAGTTTCTTTATTTAAAATATATTATTGATCCTGAAAACATCAAGAGGATCTTTACCCGGTAAAAAAATGATGACATAGATTCTGTCTTTTGAGAACTTTTGGGACTCACGTAACCTCTAATGTCAACTTGAATGGTTTCTGCCTTTCTGGTCGTGTGTTTTGAGTTTGCTCAACAGATGGTTCAGGTGCTCAAGTTCTTCAAAACTAATCATCCTCAATCCCAACCTAATAATCTACCCATATCAACGCCTGCTAGAAGAAAAGTGGTACCCACTTTTAGGAATCAGTTAGTGACAAATTTGGTGAGAGATAGTCCTTCGTGTGGTATGATTGAGGGGAACCATTTTGGTTTGCAAGATTCTAGGATGTTTAACAGAATCGACACTGATACTATGAAGAAGTTCTATTCCTAGGTTCTAGTAACCCTTGGCCATTTCTAAAATTGCGGTTGACTCGGCCAGGTGACGATGTTTACTTTGCACAATTTAGTGGATTATCATGGGTAAATTCTAAAAATAAGCTATCAAGACCGGCTGTTTGCTAATAGTAGCTTCTTTGCTTAGTGTTAGGAAAAGTCAAATGGTTTCATTTAATTACTTCAACTCTTTGAAATTTTGTTTTTGTTGATATCAGGCAGGAGTTTATCATGGTGCTGTACACTTGGATGAGCTTAACATTTTGTTAAGCCGAAGGTATATGTTTTTCTCTGCCATGCCTTTCACTTTGTGCCCATTTTTTAAAATAAATAAATAAATATGTTGCCTGTATTATTTCATTACCTGGCAAGTTCCTTATTCTGTCATGCATATTTCAACAGTTGTCCTGAATATTGGGAAGAGCGGCTTCGGACCGAGAGAGTAGAGAGAATCCGGCAGGCAAAGGAGCACTGGGAATTCCAGTGCCGGATGTTCGTGGGTGTCTGAACAGGCAATTTATCTGTTTGGTGGTGCTAGTATTAGCTACAGAGGTGAAAATCCTCTGATGTTTTTTGCAGTCCTCAGCTGTGTTTGTTGCAAATTCCTAGAACTAGCAATAATCTTGTACATATATATAACTTATGTTCTCTAGTGTTTGTTGCATATTCCTAGAACTAGCAACAATTTTGTACATGCATAGGTTATGTTCTCTTCTTGTGATTTATTGATACTTTCCACATGGATTGTCACTGCCATATTAGGACCAAATGGAAAGCAATTATGTTATGATATGTCATATGGCTATGCTTTTCACAACTGCAGTGAAGCACTTCCGCATATCTTTAGCTTCAAATGAGAAGAATCTAGTGGGAGAAAAGCTTGAATTTCAATAATAGGGACTGTCACCATATACAAGATAAAAGTATTGTAGATATGCTGAATTATCGAAAATCGATAAAGATTGTACAAATTATCAAGGAGTAGGTCATCACTGGGAAGATTTCCAAAATTAGCAGAAAACCAGATTGATTGTTTACAGCTGAGTTGAGCGGTTGGCATACTCCTGAACTAATGCCCCAAAGAGTGACCGCCTCTCGAGCAAGCGAGATGGTTTGTCAAATTCTTTTGCCCATCCTATTAAACAGAAAAAGGCACATTAGTTAGAAAATTTGTGACAAAAAATCATTTGTTCATAACTGTTGACATGCTACAATGCCTCAACCAAATCTGATTCATTTGATGTGCCAAGTTTCGGTAAATTTGTGACGAATAAATATAGGGAAAAGAAGAAGAAAGAAACGCGTACCTGCATCTATAACTAAAACTCTATCACAGTCCATAACTGTTGGAATTCTGTGGGCAATGCTGATAATTGTACAGGTTGCAAAGTCCTCTCGGATTATTTTTTGTATAACAGCATCAGTTTGTGAATCAATGGAAGCAGTTGCCTCATCCATAAACAGAAGCCTGCTGCGCTTTAGCATTACCCTACCCAAACAAAGAAGCTGCCTCTGCCCCACACTCCAATTGTCTCCATTATCAACAACTAACAAGTTTTTCATCCAAAAAGAAACAATTATAATGTAGACCTTCAATCTCTTGAGATTAAATTATGAGGTGAACCAAATTCGAGTGCAGTTATGATAAAAGGTGAATCAAGTACCTGCTGAATCAAGTTTACCAGGCTTCGTAGCCACCACATCTTTAAGTTGGCAACGTTCAAGGCTCTACAATAGTATATTCTCAGATCAGACAGGTCACAAGAAAAGTTCAAACTGCATATGAATGAATGTCCTAAAGAAGAACCACACCTATTCTATCTGGTAGAGTTTTCCCCTCGGAAACTAACCTAGGACTTGTAGCCGGAGAGAAAAACAAAGCAAGAAATGAATTCTGCCTTACAACCGTTCACATGTACGAATGTGGTCATACATTGAAGACTCTGTTGGTGTGATATTCTACTGACCATGTATTAATTGACTATTCTTTTTAGGCAGTTGAAGAGGACAACCGAGAGCGACTGCCACATTTCTCATTTATCAACATTTCTACCATGTATATACAAGGTTGGCAAACCTGAAGTTGTTTATATTCTTATTTTAAGGTAATAGGAATTGGCACATTTACCTTCCAGATCTCTTCATCTGAATACTGTCCTATCGGGTCAACATTGCTTCTCACAGTTCCTTCGAAAAGGACAGGTTCTTGAGGGATGATCCCAAAGCGAGACCTAAGATTATGAAGCCCTAGCATGGAAATGTCAATACCATCGATAATTATTCTCCCTCTCGAGGGCTCCACCAACCTAAAGAAAACCTGGATTAAAGTCGATTTTCCGCTCCCCGTTCGACCAACCACACCAATCTTCTCACCTCCTTGAATGTTGAGGGTAATGCCTTTAAGAACCAGAGGGGTGTTAGGACGATATCTAACCTGTTCACCAAATATTCAAAATACATTGATCAAAAGGAATTCCAAATAATACCAGAAAGTAATAAGAATTCATATCAAGTCATGAAGATGCCTAGTACATTAGGCACATGCTCCTTTATGGTTATTTTAGAACTGTCATTAAATTGCTAAATCATGGCAGGTATAGTGTTCGTATCATGTAAGCATCATAATGGACGGTATTCTTATGCAGTATTTGTTTTCTATTTTTGTTGCCACTGCAACAGATTTTTTGCATTTGTACAACACTTCAGCAATAAAAGATTTGTTGTGATGCTTAGTAACAAATGCCTTGAAACCAACGTGAAAAAAATCTAATCAGAATGTGTCTACAGCTAGTAACCTGCAAGTCCTTGAGCTCAACATTGCCATGGGTGGGCCAATGTGGAGAAGGAAGACAATCTTTTTTCTCCCATTCTGCTTCTGATGGAATTCTTGTAAACTGTTTTACCCTCTCAACGGAAACCATTTTATTTTCCAATAAGCAGCTCATATATATGGACCAGAACATCACACCATTGAGGGACAGGCCATATGAGAGAGATAAGCCAACATTCTCTGCAAATACAATACAAGTGAGTCTCACATAATTAGAATTCTAGAAAGAAAACCACTATCATGCACATATGGACATCACATAATAGCCTTTTTAAAAATAGACAAATTTTAGTATGCCATATTAAAAGGATTACCAGAAAAGAGATTTAGCCTATACCAAAGACTGCAATGATTTTAGGATGATTTTCATTTAGTGTTGAAATCCAGATACTGAACATTGTTAGGTGACTACAACTGAAGTGTTTGGATAGACAACGAGCCACAAAATACCTGGCTTTATAATACTACTTGGCAACAAGATCAAGAACAACGTGGAAATGCAGAGGATCAAGCTTCCAATTAGTTCCAAACGGAAGCCCAACCACTCATTGGATCCTTTGTTGTGGAAATCCATACGCAAATTTGCATTCACTCTGTTAATATTCTCCTGGCTAAACTGTTCCTGCTTCCTGAAACAGCGAATTGTCATGACCCCTGATATGCTTTCTGAGAAGTGATGAATCATGGGAGCTTTTGTAATAGAGTCGAGTCTAGTCAATTCACGAGATGTTGCGATATAATATCCCTGCAACCAAACAAAAAAAAAGGGTGGGTGGGAGGAATCATTGGAATATATTCATCTGGATTTCTTCCTTCTATACAAGTGTTTTGGTTCCTGCTAAAATGTTCTAGGAGTTGGATAAAGAAGTAATATAATGTTTCTGCTTCTACCTGTCATTTGAGGATTTAGATAAGAAGTTCCACAATGCCATTACGAATTCCCCAAAAAAAAAAAAAAAAAAACACCAAGAACTTTTTATGCTTTGCCATAATTTCAAAACTAAATTCAATGGTTGCCAAACCACACTTCAATGCTTCAACAGAATTTAATAATAAATTGTGGTAAATTAAGCTCTCTTATGAAGTGAACTAGTATATATGTAATTGCTGACAAATCATTGCTTGCTTCTTTTGTTCACACTGAACTATAATGCCAAAGCAAAATACAAAAAATATTTAGAAAAGTGAATAAATGCCCATACCCGATACCAGAAATTTAGCCAACCAAGTGGAATTATAAGGAATGCTGTTGGCCAAGCATTCTGACATGTGACAATGATGATGCTGAGCACTGTGATGTACATGGAAACAGTAAGGTTCATAAAGAATGGGAGGAAGATATCAATGTCGGTCTGATCAGTTGATGCCTACATGATAAATCATGATACAATTGGTCAGTAAAATTACTTCCACCTAACAAGAACAACACTTGCCATAAACTAAAATAAAAATTTACCAAAGTATTGGTTGGAGTCAAATTTTTACCCGACTTAGGATTCTTCCTGAAGGTGTGGTATCAAAGAATGACATAGGCGCATGCAAGATGCAGTGAAGGATTTGGCTAAAGAAAATTTGGGCAGTCTTAAGCCCCAAGACCGTAAAAAGAATAGTTCGTATCAGAACCAGCACAAATGAAACAGCTGCAATCAGTGCATAAATACGAATGAATAGAGATGGATCAAATGATATGGCACGCTTTTCTGAAGTTTCATACGCCAACCAGTAATCACTTGCCATTAAAGATGCCTGCCATAATAGAGATATTAGCAATGCCATCACTGCACCCCACCATCCAAAAGCCTCCGTGCAATATTGTTTGTAAACATTTAAGCTGACTCGACCAGTTTCTCGCTCCTCTTCATTGATGAGCTTAGAAGTCCCCTTAGCAGATTCGGCTCGTTCTAGGAATTTGCCTTCACCATTTGCTTCCCCATGGTTGGAAGGTGCTTGGGGAGATTTTGGTTGTTTAGGGGAACTTTCTCCTGGCATGTCGGTCCCTACTTCCACTAGTCCCATGGAGGTCTCATGAGCAGCTACTAGTGCCTTGAAATCCAGGCCAAATTCTAGTAGCTCATTGTACTTTCCTGATTGCACGATCATTCCATCTCGCATGACCTGATTTTAAGAGGTAATCTTGTTTTGAGGAAAAGACAAGTTGTATATTGTATAAATGAAACCAAAACAAACATGGAGAAATTATCCAAGATCAAACTCACTAAGATAAGATCAACATTGTGCAAGAAGTCAACTTGATGAGTCACAAGTAAAATGGTCTTATGTTTGAGGACTCCCCTCACACATTCCTGCCAAAAAAAAAAAAAAAAGAAGAAAAATTTAAGATACAATTAATGTCACAAGTAATGACTTCAAAATGGTTCTTAAATTTATAGATTAACCTCTAACCATAATAGTTGATAACTTCACATGATTATAACAAAAAGTCACTTTGAACAACTATTCGAAAAGGGAGGTGGGGGATAATAATATGGTAATTATATCTTTGTCGCTTCTTCAACAGCTTGCGGAGTAGAAATAGAAACAGTAAGCAAGATGTTTATACAAAATTTAGCAGAACTACTTTAATAAGCAAGGCATAGCATATATTGCACATCCAAATATTACCATACAAGGGTCTGCTTAAAAATGAGCAAAAAATAGCATTAAAATCTGAAGTTCTCAAGAATTTGATTATTCTTTTAGATTTAAACTTTTCATTTTAAAATCTAATAAATGACCTTATCTTTCTATTATTATTTTGGTGATCAACGATGAACTTGTCATCTCAACTGCCATGAACATTGAAATGAATTGTCATATCCATGTAATGCGTAAACTAGGGAGAAAAGCTATAATGTCCCTCGTAAATGTGTTGTCACCTTGAATATTTCAGACCCCGTGTGAGCATCAACGGCACTAAAAACATCATCAAGAAGATAGATATCACAATCTTGATAAACAGCTCTAGCTAGCTGTATCCGCTGCTTCTGGCCACCACTGAGGTTGATACCACGCTCTCCAATTTCAGTCTGATCTCCATACTCCATCATTTCCAAGTCCTTCCCCAAGCAGCAGACCCTGATAACTTCCCTGTATCTCTCTGTGTTCATTGGCAAACTAAACAAGATGTTCTCTTGAATGGTCCCGTTTTGAATCCATGATGTTTGTGCAACATAGGCAGTGGTACCACAAACTCTGACCTGTTAGAGTTAAACCACATAGGTCAATTGAAAATTTCTAATTATCCAATCAATATAAAGCTTCTGCAGTCAACAAATGATTATTGGGCATTTAGAATTGAAAATAGCCAGATTGTCATAAAGATTGTTAACTCCTAAAAGAAAACCTTTATCAGATTAAATACTAAAACAGGAATTATCTACCCATTAGTAGAGTTAGTTTTGACTATTTAAATTCTTTGAACTGTTATGTTTAACTGATCAGAATGAATTTTTGTCCAAATCCTACCTAAGAGAGAACAGTGGTGGATAGAAAAAACAAGCATAATCAGTGATAACAATTGTAGAGTAAAATCAGTGAAAGAGATAAATATAACTCTAGATATTCAGGATGAGAATTCAGACCTTCCCAGATATTTTGTTCATCTCGCCAAGAATTGAGGCCAGGAGAGAAGACTTCCCCATTCCAACAGTACCAACAATAGCTGCAAGTTCACCTTTTCTGATTTTCAAATTTAAATTTTTTAACACTTCTTCCCCGCCTTCGTCTTCCCAGTTAAAAAATCCATCTTTCACCTCCACAGCAATTGTACCACCACAACCTTCCTCTCTCTCTACTGACTTATCCACCAACTCCTTACTTATCATATATCTGTCCAACCTCCCCAGTGATATCATTGCTTGCGAGATTGAGATCATAGATTGTGGGAAGGTCCTGACTGGTTCCTGCAATATCTTAAAGAGTGATGTTGTGGTGAACACAGTTCCTGCATCAAGTGGAACCCCAAACAAAAGTGCAGTGGCAAATGTGATGGCGGACACAAACACCGGTGTGCTCCACAACACAACAATATTCCCAGCCACGGAGTACATGAACTTGCTTAGCCACCCAAACTCTGATTCACGAAAAGATTGAATTCTTTTGTTGAAGTGTTCTTCCCATGCTTGGAACTTGATTACCCGCATGTAGTTAAGCATCTCATTTGTGGCCTTCATTCTTGAATCTCGGTTTTTCATTACATTGTATTGGAACCGGTTATTCCTTTTAGTTCCCATAATAACGAAAATGAATACTGCTGCAAGTCCAAGTAATGCAGTAACCGTTGAGGCTCCGAGGTTAATATATAAAAGGACCAAGCCAACACCAACTTGCAATGGCATAAGCCATATGGCATGTAGCTGCAGCATCATATCAGAGAGCTGCTGAGCATCGACTGCCATGTAATTTACAATCTGTCCAACCCCATGAGACTGCCTAGCAGAGCACGATAACCTCAGACCCTTCCTGTATAAGGAAGTAATAAGGGTGGACCTAATGAGCATTCCAAGCTTTTGAGAATTGAAGTTGAATTGGTGTGTGGTCAAAACTTCCACAAATTTGGCAACAAGGAGAGTCAGTACAAGGTAGTATCCTTCATAAGGGGAGCTCCTCTTTCCAGAGGTGAAATCGACAAAGCTTTGGATCAGAACAGGCCCGACATACATGACACAAAGCCGCACAATTGCAAGGAAGGCAGTGAATGCAATTTCCCTCCAGAAGCAGCGGAACAATGTGGTTCGAACAGGGTGATTCGATTTCTCACTAGGCTTAGGCCAATTCGACTCGAAGAGCTCTGACATTTTCTCACCTCTATGATCTGGTGAAAGAGTCGGGATGTCATCAATTTTGAGGGGGGATTTATAACCTTTACTTAATAGGGGATTCATCCAAAACCAAAAGGCTTTTGAGATTGTAGTAGCTGAAGCAAAGCCAGTCACATTGGATTTCTCCAATAGGGGTTCATACAATTTGACTTCTTCATCCATTAATGAATCGGATTCGCTAGTGACTACAATCCCAGTTGATCCTCTAATGGCAACAATAAGAAGAACTAGGGATAATGGAAAACTAATGAATGAAACTATATCATCTAATCTCAAATCGGGATCAGATTCCTTGAGAGAGATTAGACGAATCAATCCTGAGGTGGTGAACAAAGAGATGATGAAAAAGTTTGCAACCCAATAAATTCGAAGCAACAATGGATGGGTAACAGCTTGGAATCTTTTCTCATGGACAATCAAGACTGTAATCACAACATGAGTTATTGCTTGAATTAACCAAAAATACCCATCTACTAGCTTCCATGGCAATTGGGTACTTCTACCTAAGGCTAAAATACATAAAATTATATAAGACAAAGCTAACAGACCAGTCACAATCACAGAAAGCTTAAACCAAATATTGTTTCTTATAAGAGCTCTATTGCTTCTAATGAGAGGCTTGTTGATGCCAGAACTGTTTTGGCCATTGGAAATGAATCTATAATAGAGCTTTTGAATTGAAAACACCAAGAGAGCCAACAAAAGGAGGACATCAACACAAGACAAGAGAGCTCTCTGAGGACATGGAGAGAGAGAGATGAATCTTAGCCATTGGATCATGGGCAATACAGATATTTCCTCCGAGGATTGTATCACAGAGCTTGAACACGAAAGGGTCGTCATCCAAGTAACAGAAGACATTTTGTTGTAAGAAAACTTCGGATCAAACCATACAAAATGTCTCCTCTATGCTTTACTCTCACCAGTATCACCTCTCAAGCTTTCTGTAAACCAGAAATAAAATCAAATAAATCAAAGTAACACCCAATAGATGCTACAATTTTTTTTACTTCAATATATGCTATAATGAAATGATAAGAACTCCAGATTTACTAGATTTTTTTAGAATATTTAAATATTTTATTTTTTTTTGTTTAGTATATAAAATGAGTGATAAATATACGGAAAATTTTGAAAAGCAAGCCTGCAGCCCAGAATCAGAGAGCTTTTCTCTGCGTGTGCGTGTGTGTGTGAAAGTGAGATTAGCCCTCCCTTCCCCAGTCCGGAAAAGATGGGACTTTACTTGAAAGGCAATAATTCAAGGAATGACAAAAAGCAGAAGAAAGAGAAACCAGAAAAGGCAAAAAATGATGAGAAAATTAAGAGCCACAAAACCAACACAAAAGTCTTGAGTCTACCCTGCCTTGATGTGCTTACACAAATTGTGTACCAACGCTCAGAGTCCATTTATTAAACACAGCGAAGAAATTCAACATAAAATAAAAGAAATAAATTAATTAATATATATATATATATATATATATTATATAATAATATTCAATTTATAAATTGAGGGTGTGAAATGAAATCACAAAGAAAAAGAAAAAGAAAAAGATTGACATAGTTGAAGATTTTGTAACATAAAAATGAAAAAAAAAAAAAAAATCATGCTAAGCATGTAAACCGAAAGAACAGAGTACTTACTTGGGCTTCGAGAAGACGCCACTGAAAGGTAAATGAAGCAAAGCATAGAAGGGTGTTGGAAAGTGTCCAACTGGGTGGCTCATATAATCAACACTTGGTGGCCGAGAATTAATTGACTACCTCCAAACTTCATATCTGCGAAGATGTAGCTACTGAAAGTGACCTCAGAGATTGTAAATAAAACAATCTTCTTTTTGGTATGTTTATCACTATCTTTTTGGAGTCATGTATTACAAGAGAAGTAGTAACTAAAAGGAGGACCACTAGTCAAAAATCAGCGGCGTCTCTGAAAAAAAATTACGTGTAGATACGGTAATCCTCTGTGGATGTGAGAGAGAGTCGCCACGCTGATTAGTTTAAAAAGTCACTCTCAGAGACAAAGGGTTTGCGGTTTTTAAATTTTATTTATTTATTATCGTAAGTTTTTTTTTTTTTTGCCCTATTCAGGTGAATAATTTATTTTTAATTTATTATGTTTCTCTTTTTTCTTTTCTTTTTTTATTAATAAATTAGAGAAACTGACAAACGCGTAGGGATGACAAATTTTCCATTCCCGTCCCGCCCGTCCCGTTTACAACGCAGATGGGGACCCTTTTATGTAAATGGGAATAAAGATGGGAAGAGAGGTAAATTTTGAAAACCCGCCGGGGTCGGAGACGGAGGCAGAAATGGGGTAAACCCACCCCGCCCCAATTAAGTATTAAATTACTAATATACCATTTATATTTAATAATTTATTACTAAATTAGATTTATTAAATATATGAAAATAAGAAAAATTATGTTTTTTTTTTTAAATAATATATGTTAATCGGGCTCGGGGATGGGAATAAGAGGTCGGAGGCAGGGGCGGGTATGGGGGTGGTGGTAAAATTTTAAGCAAGAATGAAGGCGGGAATGGAGATTGAAAAATTCAGCGGGGATGGGGATGGCGAATGATATCCCCGCTCCGTCCCGTCACATTGACATTCCTATAAACGCGTGCTGATCAAGGGCATGGATGGAAATCATGGAATTTTTATTTTTATTTTTATTTATTTATTTATTTTTTAGAAACAAACTAAACAAAAGTAGATCTAGCCATCCAAAAATAAAAACGACGTAAAAACAAAGGTTATGTGAAAAATATTACTCACATAATGAATTTACTAAAACACGCCGGGATTATTAATTTGTGACAGGTAAGCAAAGGTTGCCTCCCCACTCTCGTGGAAGGGACATATCGGAAGGGGAAGGAACAATCGTGAGAGAGAGAATGGGAAGAGAGAGAGAGGCTAGGAAAAGTGTTGAAATCATGGAATGATGTAGCGAGGTTAGAGACAATCACCTTTGGAAAAAAAAATTAGAGACAATGATTCGATTCGATTCGAGTAGAATATTAAATAATTTTTTATAATAAAAAATTCAAAAAGTATTCGTGGTTGGGACTGTGAATTCTACCACCTCGGCAGAAGTTAAATTGTATTAAACAGCCTCGTAATCAAATTTTGTTTGTGTTGACCTGTTCAAATTACATTTTGGTTAAGACAATCAAATGAATTAATAACAATTCTTTATTGACTGTTTTTTTTTTTTGAATTTCATTAATAATGTTAGCTGCTCAAAAAAAATAATGTTAAAAGCATTCTTACGTTTTACCAGAATGTTCTCAAAACAAATGGCTCAATATTATATTATAAAAGCATTATGGCACTTCACAATTATTTTAAAATTACTCTTTCACTTTACTTTTAAACTAATTATGTCATTTTTATTATATATATAAAAAAACAAGAATAATGCAAGAGTATAAAAATGAATTGGAATGTCACAAACTAATATAAAAATTATTTTTAAAAAATAAGATGAAGAAAGATGATGTTATCTTGTTTGGAAAAGATATTGTTGACAAACAACCTACCAAGTTAATAAAAATAATGGCAACAATATAAAGAAAAGAAAAATTATATAATTTAAATTATATAAATGACAAAATAGTGTTAGATGTGTTTTATATCATATCTGAATAGAAAGTGAAATATATATATATATGTGTGTGTGAATGCAACATTATCAAATAACTTACATTTTTAGGTTAAAAAATAAGCGTATGACCCATTGCAAGTTTGATCATTAATTCATCTTTAAAAATGAAAAGAACTTTGTTTGATTAACAAAGACGATGAAGGAAATTTATACTTAAAAATACAAAAAATTTCACTTATTTACCTCATATTATCTTTCTTTTATTATAGATGTGTTTCATATCCGATCTGAATAAAAAGTGAAATAAATACATATATATGTGAGTGCAACATTATCAAATAGTTTAAATTTTTAGGTTAAAAAACAAGCGTATAACCCATTGCGAGTTCGATCATTAATTCATCTTAAAAAATGAAATGAATTTTGTTTGATTAACAAATACGATGAAGGAAATTTACTTTTAAATCAAATACAAATTTTTTCACTTATTTATCTCATATTATCTTTCTTTATGTATTTATTATTGCATGTTTTTTTTTTCTTGTTAACACTCACACACACCCCTCAAGTAATTGCTTACACCTAAGACGATTTGAAACTTAGACTTGGTATTTCTGAGGCACCAAAGTTAAGTTCTTACCCATTTGAGTTGATCCGTTGAATATTTTTTTTAAAATTATTGCATTAACTAAGTAACAAAAATAATATTATTTTCTTTATGTCATCAATTTTCTTCTTTTATTAATACAGCGGTAAACAGAGTTTATCTAAAACAAGGTACTTTAAAGTTTAATCTAAACCAAGATCCATTTTTGTATCATTTTTATCACGTATCAATATCTGTCATGTGCTTAATGCAATAAATTAGGTAATATATTAAAATTTTAATTTAATAATATTATAACATTACAATATGATAATATAATATATTACATGAATGTTATATATTTTTGTGGTGTAAATTTGAAATATAATAGTACTATACTTAGTGCGACGAGTTCATAGAATTCCCGAAACAAAAGGGATTAGGATTCCTCTCTTCATATTTCTATTACACCCGTAAGTTTTTTTCCCCCTCTATTACACGGTTTACACCCATAATTAAAAATGACCAACTTTTCATGTTTGAAGCCCTTTTTTCAAAATGAGCAATCAATCACTAATAATATGTAAATCATGAAGCATATTCGTTTCCCATCAAAATCGTCACGTGTTTGACTATATTGAGTACTCCACCCAGCGACTAATTTGATTGAAATGCATGAATTAGTATACGTCATGCGTGACCACCTTTATTGATAGATCATCCCTTGACTATATATATATATATATAGATATATGGTACAATGAAAATCAAACTACTTATCACATTGAGAAATTGAATTACAATTTACATCACAAATGTATATAAAAACATGCAGCACATCCCTTTGGGAGTGTTGGATTTCCATGTATCACGGAAAGAATCCCATGTTTGTGCACATGTTTACGGACAGCTAAAGGTAACCTACTAATTATTCCTCTATCGGTGTCAAAAAAAAAAATGTATATATATATTACTGTTTTATTATTTTTTATAATGTCATGATACCTTTATCATTTTTATAAAATAAAAAAATCGATGAGTTCTTATATCAATAAAGTTGTTAGATTTTTATATCAATAAGGTTGTTTGGTTTTTTATAATATATTCTTTTTTGACTTAAAAAAAAAAGGGGAAAAAAAAAAAGAACTAATATATCATTTCCTCTGTTACCACAAGCGCGTCATCATTCTTTCCAGGTGTGAATTTAGTTACCTGGATCTTGGGACCCATTACCCATATGTATAAGGGAATATGTAAAATTTTAATTTGAAATTGTATCTTGAATATAATGCGAGGATAATTAAAAAGACGTTAATGTTATTTATTTTAATATATTATATATATATATATATAATTTTTCTCATATTTCACTCTCTGCATCTACTAATCTAACTACTGACATTTCTTGCTTTGTAAATAAAATAAAATAAAATAAACTTATATATATCCTTTATTTATCAGGAATAAAAAAATAAATAGAAATAAAAACTTATGTATATCTTCGTTGAATATTAGAAAACACCAAATTAAAATATAATTCTTTAAGTGAATTATGTAAATTAAAGTTCTTATTTACAACAAATAAATCACTCATTCATAATAGAATATTGTAACTATTAGTTTAATTATTTAAAAATTTAATAAAAGGGTTTCTCAAACGAATATATAAAAATGGAATTGAATTCAAATTATTGACTTATTTTAGAGTTTGAATTCTCTAATGATAAGTTTTGCTATTAAGATATTTCCTAAATTAAAAAAAAAGAGGTTCGCACTTCACTTTTCTCTAATTGCACTACATTTATCTTTTTCTTTTAAAAAAATTGATAAGAAGGACATTTAATTCATTAATGCACTATCTCTTATTTTATAATGTCATAACTACAATTTATACAAGTTTAATATATATATATATATATATATATATATATATATATATATAACTTCTTTAGTTCCTTTAATATATATATTTTTTTCCCGAGGTCCTCTCAAATAAGATAATTTATTTGATACTAATAATTTTATTTTGACAGTTAAAAGAGATAATTTATTAAATAGTAACTTCTTCGTTTTTTGTGCAATCCAAACAAATAATTTATTTAACAAAGTTAACTTCTATTTTCAGTCTTATTGAAAGAGGTAACTTTTTTTCTGGGTGATTTTTTATGGGTCCCATCAAAAGAAATTATTTATTCAATAAAAATAAATATTTTTTTTGGGGACTTATCAAAAGAGATATTTATTCAATAGAGATATATATTTTTTTAATCCTCTTTTGTCGTTTTTTTTTTTATCTTGACAAAAGAGATAATTTCTTCAATAAATATGTATTTTGGGTTTTTTTTTCTGTCAAAAGAGATAATTTTTTTTAATGGTTACTTTTTTTTTGTTTGGTCAAAAAATGCAATTTATTCAACATAATTTTTTGTTGGTCATGTAAAAAAAATATTATTCAACTTTTTTTTTTTTATCATGTCAGAAGAATTTTAAATATTAAAGATTAGGTAATTGTAGGAATCTAAAAAGACAATTGTGTCATTTA